ACAAATTGATAGTTGAGGCAGCACATGAAATATGGAAAAGTATAGATAGCTGCCTGAAATCAGAAGAAATATTATTGTCATAGATGTGTAAATATAAACTAAAGATATCATCATATGATAATAATTGTTTTTTTTCAAATGGAACATCAAAAGTTTGGTGGTTCTCAGTAGATGATCCATGTAAAAATCTACAACTTTTAATGTAGTGATATTATACCACATAGTGCTGTGTGTGAAAGAGTTTTCTCAACTCTTGGATGGATATACAATAAAAAATGTCTTTGTCTCAATGTATCAAAAGTAGGAGGCATGGCTAAAGTGAGATTAGAGGTTCCCAATCATGGTGTATTTGTTGTGATAGAAAAAGATTTGATTTAGAAAAAGTTTTTTATATTTTTGGTTTTTATTTTTAAATCATTTTAATCATTTTTTTATACATCAAATTTATGTTACATGGTAATGTTTTAGCAATTAAACTCATTAATTTTTATAATTGAATTTTTTATTATTTTTATATTTTGGTACTTTAACTAAGTTTTATATAGTTGAAATTTATTTGTCTGAAATAGTTTCAGATTTGGCCAATGCTTAAATATTTCAAATTCAGCTAACAACTTACATAAAATAGTAATGAATAATTTTATTATTAAAATTTAACAAAAATATATAAATCCATAATCAATCTTATAAAAAAATATATAAAATACATTATAATCAAAAATTTAACATATAACCCATAATTAATCTACATAATTTTGCACCACATCATCCAAATCATAATCATTTGTACAATCTTCATTTGATTTGCCAACTTCATTATTCATATTGTTCTCCAAACTTGAACCATCATTATCATCAATATCATCTGGATCCAAAACAAATGGAACTTCATTCAATTCAAAAAAGTTTTCAATAACCACAAATACTTGATGATTTGGAACTATTGGTTCTTCATTTATTGATTATCCTCCACCTCCTCTTCTTCCACTTCTTCTAAATCTTCCTCCTCCTCTTGATCATCTAATGTTTCTTCAACTAAAGATTTTAATTCCAAAGCACTGATGTTTTCACCTGGATATTTTAATTCTTTATTGATTGTTGAAAGATAATATGATCTTATCTTTGCCATACTTTCTATTTTTGAGATGGTCAAACGTAAACGCCTTTTGCCATATATCCAACCAAGGGTAGAAAAAGTTCTTTCACATGCAGCGCTGTTTGGAGTGATATCATGAATTAAAATTGCCAATTTTTGTAAACAATCATGGGTAGTATCTACAGAATTCCACCAGATTTTAGGTGTATCACTTGAAAAAACATACATCTCATTATATGGAGGTTTGTATAATTTATAAAGTCGCATTTGTAATAATAAAATTTCTAATGATGCTTTGTTGTTACCAAACTTCTGCCAAATCTCACTTGCTGCTTTAACCACAATTTGATATTTTCCCTTTTTGATGCCTGCATCTATTATTACAAATAAAAAAATTAAAGAATTAAAAATTAAACTAATCAATCTCTTAATGATATATATATATAAAGAAAATTAACCTCTATAAGCAGGGTGCAAGAAATATGCCAGTATATATGGACCAATCTCAAACCCATCCCACCTTTTATTAAAGGCATTGATGGCATGTTGTTGGAGTCCAGTCATATCATTATTGTTCATATTTTTTAATTTGTAAGATAGGTGAATTATTTGGACAAAAACATCTGCAAGTGTTGTGTTATCTCCTTCAGTTAATTTTATTGCATTTTTAATAGGTAGTAGTATTTGTGATAATGTCATAACTTCATCAAAAAACCACGTCTTCTTAAAATTTTTTTAACAGATTTACTAGTAATCTCATCACTATGATTTCTAACAATCTAATATTATTATTAAATATTAATGTAAATAGCAAATTATTTATAATTTGATACATAATAATTTAATTAAATAAAAAAAAAAACCTCATTAAGTGCAAATGCATTCTTAAAATTGAATTTGTTGATTCATATATTGAAGTCCATCTAGTTTTAACAAATGGTTGGAGTCCTCCACCCCTAATTGAAAAAGTTTCTGCTGCATTTGATAAAAGACTATTACAAATGTGGGATTTTTTGTAATATTTAATAATTTTTAAACATTCTGATAATAAATTAGATGCCCTTTCATATTCTAATATTTGTAAAAATATAAACATTAAAAAAAAATAAAAGATTTTTTACTAATAAAAATTTAAAAATACCTACCTATTATAGATTTTGTAATGAGATTAACAAAATGAGCAATACATCAAATATTGATGATTTTTGGATATTCTTTTGATATTAATTCTTGAGCTAGTTTTATATTTGCAGCTTTATCAGTTACAACAGCACCAAATTTTTGTACTCCAATTTTAGTTAAAACAGTTTTTATTTCAGCAGCTAAAAATTGACCAGTATGATGTGTTTCAGAATAATCCCAAAGACAATATAAATATTGTTTATGATCAGGAGTTAAAACTAAAAAATTATAAATAGAAAGAGAATTAGGTGAAGTCTACCCATCTAGAGCTAATATATATGTTATATATTAATTAGTAATAAAATAACATTAATTAAACAATATTTGTAAAAAATAAATATTTACCAAGTGTTAAATTTTCTGCATTACTTAGTTCCTGATCAATTTTTAGGTTAACTTTTGAAATTTCCTTACTTAATAATTGTCCAGCTAATGTTTGTCGTGATGGAGGACCATAATTTGCTTGTAGTTGATAAAGCAGTTCTCGAAAAAAAGGATTATCAATTACACTGAATGGAATCCCACAACAAACAAATGCTCTCACAAGAGCAATGTTAATGGCTTCAATTTTTCCTTCTGATAATTCTTTATTTTCACAAAAGTCATCTATTGTTTTTTGATCAAATTTTATTTTTTTATTTGAATTATTTGATTGAAATGACATTCTAGAATTTCTGGAACTTGTTGATGTAATATCTTCAGCCAAATTTTCTGTTCATAAAACTTCAAGATAAAATCTTTGAATCATATCAGGACATGCTGGACAATTATTGGCTAAATGAGCTTGTAATGATTGTACATAGGCTCTGCCCCAGCATTGTTGCACTCTGCAGAGTGATGCCCATGTGAATTAAGTGGGGTTTTAATAAAATATTCCCACACTTCATTTTGCCTTCGTCCTGCTGTTTTTTTTGTTGACATATATATTCAAATAATAATTTTCCTCTTATAAATATTGATATTAATGTTCTTAGTATGTTCTTATTAATGTTCTTGGTATGTTCTTATTAATGTTCTTAGTATGTTCTTATTATTGTTCTTAGTATGTTCTTATTAATGTTTTTATGTTCTTGTTAAAATTTGAACTAAAAATAAAAATTAATAGCTAAAAAAAAATATTTAGTTACTCTTAGTGAGAAGGGTGAAAATTGACGGTATAAATAATAATGAAACAGCCTAAAGGCCTAAAATAATGATATTAATTTCAATAATTTCAAAAAAAAAAAAATATATTATTATTATTAATTATTATATTAATTTCAAAATAAAAATTTTAATTTTCTGTATTATTTATAAACTATCTTAAATTCTTATATTATTGTTCTTATTTCATTAAAGTTTGTTATATTAATGAGAAGAAGATGAATGAACATATATATTATAAAATCTTTTGGAAAAAAAAATATATATATATTATTATTATATATATAAATATGGAATTTCAGTGTTTTGGCATTCTATATATGGAATTTAGGCACTTCCATTTCTATATATGGAATTTCGGCATTTTGGCACATTTTGGCATTTTCAATATCAGCATTTTGGAAAAATATCGGAATGCACATTTCAAATCCGAAATATTCGGAAATTTAAAAACAATTTCGGCTAACATCCTTAGTTACAACCATGTGAATACAACTTGTCTTTCAACACAACCAAATTCACTAGTCAACACTACTGATACCAATAAGAATACAAAATGTAAGAATGAGGAAGGTAACAACTCAAAGAAGAAATTATGCAAATGTGGAGCCACTATCCATAGTCATATATCATGTTCAAAATGTCCTTTGAACAAGGAGTGGCAGGCAAAGCAAGATACCAACAATATCAAATATAAAGTTTCATGCATAAAGAAAAAACTTAACCAATTTTTAAAAAAAGTAATCAATTGCTTCCAATTGTAAAATCTGCAATTTTATGTGTCAAAGATATAACCTATGAAGGTGCCAAAATTCTAGAATTGTTAATCCTTGATCATTTCAATGATCACAACTTGCAATGATTACCTCAAATTCACTCCCAATTTGTTTGTAGAATATTCTAATCAACAACAACAACGCTTCATAGTAATGGTACTCTGTTGAATACCAGATGTGACCTCATAAACAATATTTGTAATGAATATGCAATCCAATGGCTAATGGACATTAAAAAAGTAAAATTTTAGGAACTGTATCATATAGTCTTATTTTAAACTTACTATTTGATCCTAACAATATAGGAGGCTTGGTCAAATACTAAGCCTAGCAGCACATTCATATATGGGGCATGGTCAATGGGAAAGAGGTAATAGGATTTTTATTCATGAATATCATGAAAATCATTAAGGGGGTTACACACTATTAAAACAGAAAAAAATCCCTTAAAAACATG